TTCTTTCCTATTAAACATCAATTGTCCTTATGTCTCCTTTTTTGTTTGTTTGTTTGTTACTCTCGTGTAGTGGGTGATTGGCCGGCGGTGCTCTGGTATGGCTTTGCACCTACCTTCTTTCTTACCAAATATATAAAGGGTATCTTACTTATCGCTCTTTCTTCTGTTTTATGTCATTACTCTCTTATCTTAATACACCTCTAATTTTCAGATCTAATTTGAACTGATGTGTTTCACGTGCCGTAGAACGATTACTTAATTAAAACAAAACACAAACAAAACAACAACCCCCCCAAAAAAACAACAACAAGCAAACAAAAAAAAACCATACCTTTTGGCCCAGTTACCTCTGTTTGTGGGCAGTGACCCACGAGTTGCGTTATGCCAGGTCCGCGTTATAGGCCAAGTATTTTTGGGACACCTGAAGAGACATAAAGGTCTTGAACATCTGCCTCTCACCGGCAACACTGAAGGCAAACGAGGCAGGGGTAGGCTCAGAGCAACCTACTTAAAGAACCTAAACAGATTGTTGACAGGGAAAGATCAGGGTAACGTATCCGAGCGAAGGAATGAATGGAGAACCATGATCGCCGATGTCTGCTGCAGATCTGGCACTTGATAATGATGATGATGATGATTTCGTTGGTGTCGAAAGCAATTCACTTTTCCGTGTGGGTACATTTTACCCTGCAGAAAAAACCCACATATTGTTGTGTGAGTTGTTTCATTCAGAATTCATACAAGTAAAAAAAAATTGTAAGCCTTGACCGTAACATTGAACTGCATTTTGGTGATGTTGAAAGGTGCATATTAGATCTTAGAGCTTTTATTGGGAGGGTGTAAAATACGAAGAATTCTAAAAAAATTGGACTTACTGGATTGCTTGCAACAGCAACGATAATAATGTATGGTCTGAACATGTTCTCACATTAATAGTAGCATTAAGTCCCGTTAAGTTCCGAAAGTAAGTCCAAAAAGTCCTCAAGTACAGGCTACGGGGTGGTCACCGGGCGAGCTATGAAGAGGTCACCTAGCGGACATTTATTTTTGTAATTTGTGATGTTGTTGTTATCAAGGTCTGCTTGATGATCCTAAATGGTTTACGCATCACCCCCATGGAGTTGATGGTTGGCAGCTTCTCTGGTGTCGTTTGCTCCTTCTTTCCTATCAAATACCTATCGTCCTTTTGTCACCTTAGGGGTGCTCTCGTGGCCTAGAGGTTAAGGTGTTGGCCTCTCATTCAAAAGGTCCCGGGTTCGAATCCGGGTAGCGACCGAAACATTTTCTTCTCTAAATTTGTCTCCTTTCACCTCATTTCCTGCTTTCTAGCAATGTTCTGTCGTCTGCTTTCGTCTCCTCTTTCTGCCCCCACCCCCTCACCTC